TGAGAAGAATTAAAAAAAAAAATTATTATTATACCGTCTTCTTCCTCACCTTCTTACTTTATTTTTAACTGAAAATATGCTAATGATTTTAATCAAAAGAACTCGAAAGTCGGACTGGAAAAATAATAATCATAGATATGATAGCATTTCAACTATTTTTTGTAATAACAGATATTCACACATATCTGATATAAATAATTATTTAATGAATAAAGATAAAGTTTATTGGTTGAAGATATCAGAATTCGTAGATAAATTTATATTTTTCTTTCTTTTTATTATGGTCCTTTTTTATTGTCCAGGCCCTTCCGTACATGAAAAATGCATTTTGATATGGAAAACACGTAGAAACATCTACTCGTGTTTTTTATATTAATATGAATGCTCACCACCTTATTCCATAGATAAATTGTTTATAGGACGGAACGTATATGAAAATCGCGTTACAACGAACTTTATGATTAATTGTCACCGAAACAAAGAATTTCATTAGATGAATTTATTTATATGTTGTGCTTAAATTGGAATCCGAACCAAATGATTTCATTGGGTTAATCCATTTATAATTTATTGGTTCCTTCGGAGCATTAACCTTGGCTATTATTCATAATCGTAACTAAAAAAATTTCTGATGGATCTCGTGAATTAACAATAAATGAATAAAGAGATTCTTTCAAGGTTATGCTTACACATTACATTATTTATTTTGATATCTATATCAAATTTTGGGGCTGCTTCCAGGGGATAAACCAAATAAGATAATTGAAAGACGATTTCATAGAATGATATAGCTCTTGTCTTGGAGAACAATCCCACGAAAAGAATTTTTTTCATATGTAAAACTGATTTTATATATTTATCTATTTTGAGCGCCTTCCATTTCATTATGAAAATCATGTGGTAAATTATTTTATTACTGATACAAATGTCATATTTATATAATTTTGTCTCTAACAAATAAATCTATTTCAATGTTCCAAGAGCTGTATCAAGTTACAGTTTTATCAAAAGTTTGTCCCTTATCAACTAAAAGCTGTACATCTTAACAAATGTTTAACTATTGTTTAATTCGATTTTTTACCAGTGTTAGGAAACTAAATAGTCACATTCATAGGGATGTCCGGAGCCCCATTATTGCAAAAAACCAATCTTTATGAAAGATGCAGGCTCAATCAGCAAAATAACCATAGATTGTATGCAATACCCATTTTTAGATAACAAGTTTACTAACAAGAATACAAGAATTTAGCCAAATTTCTAAATCAATAAAAAAAAAAATCAAATCTTTAAGAAGAAACCTTGAAATTTTTAAAGTTTTTTATTAAAAATGTTTCATCTTCATCAAAAAACATGTATATATTATTGTTGAACAAAACGCGAATTATTTATTGGAAAACAAAAAATACGATTTAGCAAAACAACATGGAGTTAGTACAAGTCAGTGATATATCAAAAAATCCAACGAATGGCTTAAAAGACCATCTACCACTTCATTCGCTGATATTAAAGAAGCTTTAAATTTATGAATTGAAAGACTCTCGAATGCAATCTACCAATTACAAATTCTGTTATATCAAGATTTTAATGGGTCTACTGGTCGGTTATGAAATTTTAAACAGAAGTACTCAATCCGCCTCACAGCCAAAACACGGTAAAGCACAAATTGCATCTACTGAACAACTACCAGAAATGAGAAGAAATTTGCAAAATATCCTTAAAGAATACCAATTAGACAATATTTTCAATTATGACGAAACTGGTCTTTCTTGAAAAATGGGACCGATGCATGGATTGTCAACTGGACCACTTTCAAGAACAAAACAAGGCAAATATAGAGCAACAGTTCTACTTAGATGCAACGCAACTGGAGAAATTGTCTCCTTTGTTCATACATAAACATCAAACACCATGGCCTTTAAGAAAAAAACATTACCAGTAGATTAATACTGGAATAGTAAGGCTTGGATGCAAATATCAACTTGGAATGGGTATTTTGAAAATTTAGATATAAGAATGAGAACTCAACAAAGGAATATAATATTGCTCGTTGACAATGCATCAACTAGTGTTAGTTTCTAGAACTAGAGGGTTTCGCAACTGTGCGAAAGTCAAAAAGGCTTTGCCGGTTTGGATTTTTGACTTTTAATCTTAATTTTGGCGACCAACACTAGGACCAACAACGCATAGCTTAGCTGGAAATTTACATAAAAGCCGTCATGTGATGCGAGGAATAATTAATTGCGTTATTTTAATTATCTAATTTAAACTATTTATTTATTTTATTTCACATTACACTAATTACTTGTATATTACATTACAAGAAGTTACTACTTTTTTTAAAAAAAAATAATCAATTATGATTCACGTATTTCATGCTTTAACCTATTCATCACAAATCCTAAACTTATTGATATAATGGATGCCATTAAAAAGAGAAGAATGTATTACCATTGATGATTCCAAATAGATAGTGTGAAATGGTAACAGAAGAAGAAATAATTGCCTTTTTCAATCGAAGGAATTATTGAGAGCAGCTCTATACCTAAAGTTTCAACAAAAGATGCTGCAATTGCTTTTGGGACAGCTTTTAATTTCATTCGACAAGGTGATATAGAAATAGATTATAAAGAATTTAAAGCTTTTAAGCCATCGAAAAGAAAGGTGATAATGAAAAATTAATACAGCCAAATATCACGTCTTATTTTCAATAATAATTTTAATTTCTACATGTATTTATAAAATAACTAATCTTCTGGTCTCATGACTATAGTGTGAGAAGACTAAATTGTGAATTACATTTTTTGAAGTTAATTTAAGAAACGATCTAGAAATTCAACCAGCATAAAAAGGTTTTTAATGACTTCAGGTCCTCGCTTGAAAAAGCAATACCATGTTAATTAACTCTATAGAGTTTACAGAGTGAATGTTAGTTATCCTTTTAAAATAAAATAATTCTTAAAAGTCATAAATAACTTTAGAAAATAAAACAATGTTTTTGTTTTATTTTATTTTCGTTTAAAGCGAAACGCTTTGTTCAATTGTGAGACTTTGATATTTTATTTGCTTTAGTGAGTAAACAAACTGTTAAGCGAGGTTTCAATCGGTACAAATAGATACAAACAAGTGTAAACGAGTGAAATAAATCGGTTACGGCTTTGTAAAAGAGCCATCTCTATTTATCAACAGTTATCCTGTACCATAGAGTGTGCCAAAGCATTCTGAATAAAGGAAAGAGGTATTAGGCGAGAATCAAAGCAAATTAATAAACCAATTAATTAACAAGCTCCAAGTTATTATAGCCCAAAAGTTAAGCCGTAATCGACGTTAACAAAAAGCTACCTTGCACTAATAACGTCACACTTTTACTTTGTTTTGATGGGTTAAAACCCTCACAAAAAACATAGATATATATCCCAAGATCTTCTCTCCATTTTGGCACCGAGAAAACAGCATTTGTTATTGAGAAATCATCTTTAAAAGACAATAGATAAATTTTCACGAATGTATACGTTTCATTAATATCGTGACTGATTGCTTATTTTTTTAATAGAACCGTGACCAAGTAAAGTGAAGGAAAAGTGGAATGGTAGAAACAGTGTTATTATGATGTAATTGTTATTAATTTTTTTTTATAATAAATTTTTATTACTGTTCCAAAAATTTTTGATTAGACACACTCATTATATAAAGAAAAAAAGCAGGGATACCTGAAAAATAGTTATCTGAGTTGATTGGATATGATTCCAATGGGTCTGGGACACCCACTTTACCGACAAGACACTTTACCAACAATCAAAGTAAAATCGAACTTGACATAGAAATGGTCTTGCGAGGAACACCACAACCTCCACAGAAACCACAAGATCGTAATCGCGAAATACGGATTCAAACAGTATTAAATGACCGTAACATTAGATCAACTATAGAGTTTCTTCGGGGAATTTCCCATAATATTTCATTTTAAATTTTTTTTTTTGTAAATGATTGATAAATAAATTTAATAAAAACAATCAAAAATAACATGAATATGCAATTTTTATCAATTTCGTCAGACAAAAAAAAATATTACACATGTATTTATATTGTTTTTTTATGAACTGGTTTTTGATGCAAAGTAAGGATAATAAGTTGTGTTATTAGTTAATTAACGGTTGATTTAACTTGTGCAAAAAACCAAACTTTTGGCTAGTTATCCAGGTCTTCGCACAGTCCTTGGCAAATTGTTAACACAACGCTTGTCGGTAAAGTGTCCTGCCGGTAAAGTGGGTGTCTGTAAAGTGTCCGGGTCCGGATTCTCCTCCAATATACTCATTTCAACGCCTTTTGTCTTTGTAATTCCGTTATATATCTTTTTCATCAAATCGATCGAATCCCAGTGACTCATCCTTAATGTGATTGGTGCATATGAATAGAAGCAGCGTTTGCAGCAGCTATTCGTGACCACCACAACCACAACCACCATCACAATCACGACTACCATTCTTATCACCATTATCATCACTACTATTATTATCACCAGCGAAAACTTTGGTTGATTGTGGAAAGTACATAAAATAATTTAATATTGTAAAAAAAACAACAATTTTAACAAATTATAATTGTCAATAATCTATCAACACATACATATTTTGAATCTTCCTCAGGGACAAATTGTCTTGCTGCCTTGGATAATGTCATCAATCTGAAAAAAAAAAATTTTCCTAGTTATAGAGAGAAATAATTTATATGCGGAGCATATATATTTTCCGAAATTATTAAATTATTCGTAGAGAATTTTTAAATAGTAAAAATACGGGCTTAAAATAATTATGTATCATGCATGATTAACCATTTAGAGACGCTGTTTTCATTTAAGGTCAATTACATATAGCAAACCTGACTATATTTTATATTTTATTTATCGACAATTAATTTACTAATAAATAAAAGATATTTTTTGTTACGAGCACGGAATAAAAATGATAAAATTGCATTATTTAAAAAAATTTGATTTCAATAATCTAAATGAAAATTGTTATCATTAAACATAATAAAATGGTGAAGGAAAATAATTGTTGACGTGATGAACTGACTACGAGAGTTGTAGTAGTAGCACCACTTGCGGCAGTAGGAGTTACAATAGAAGATGTAGTTGTAGTATTTTTGACAAGTTTGTTTGGATCGTCATCATCCTGGTTTTTCGGTTCAGTGGGTGTAGCTTTAGGTTTTTTATGATCTTTGGCTTTAATTATTTTACCAACTTTACCGGGATTTTGACCTGATGGTGGTGGATTTGGATCTTGTGGAGGAAATTTGCCTTTTGTATCAGTGATTGTAAATCGTGTTGTATAAAAAGTATTTCCACCGGATGAAAATTTTAAAAAATACCCTAGCAAATAAATATT